CAACTTTTGCTAAACATATTCTAACCGGATTCACTGCACACCCTGCCCCAGTGCAGAAAAGAAAGGGAAACCGAATTCCAAACAAGTCAAATCTTGTTCATATTTTCAGGCAGAAGAGTTTTCAAATTAGTAAGCTAGGCTTACATAAAATACTTAAAACACTTTGGCTTAAGTGTATTTGAAAAAAAATCCAAAATACACCAAACAATAGCCAAACATTTTATGTGCTCTTTTTGTTGCAATATTTTTAACTCCAGAATCTTTTCTTTTCTTTTCTTTCTTTTTTCTTTTTTTTAATTTTCCCCAAATGTTTCCTTCCTCTGCTCTGCATTGAAAAAAAGCAAGGCAATTACAGAAGAAAAAAGCCTCACTGTAATCTGAAGTGAAGAATAAGCATGTCAAAAAAATCCCTCACAAATCATTTGCCTCAGAGTGATCCCATTCAGCCAAGAAGGTGCTAGGTACAGGTACCAAAGACAACTTAATTCTCCTCATCCACTCCCCATAAACATCATAACTTTGCCAATGAAACACGTATTCCGAGATTACCGTCACCTAATGATCCATCACCTAATGACCCACCAGCATGGCCAGTATCTGAAGTGTCCTGGGCATAAAGGTCTGCATATATGAGGCTGACAGAGAGACCTCGGGAACTGTCCCTGTGTGTATTGACCATTCTGCTCTCCAGCAAGATTATGCAATTGGAGACCAGGCAATTCCTCTCTCTTCATAGGAAAGGGAGGGAGGCACAGCAGAGCAACATCAATGTTTTTCCTTTGATTTTTCAAGTACTGATAGTACATCTAATTAAGTGACTTTAGTATTTTGAAACAAGTTACACTGCGTAAGTTCCTCACAGAACTCTCAGTTCCTCACAGTTTTAGGGGAGAAAATAAGGTTATGTAGCAAACTACTATCTGTCACAGTAAGGAAGAATGTCATCAGCTCAGTTTCCATTAGATATTCCCTAAAACGAAGCAATATATGCAAATGAATTGCCACTGCCAGTTGTCCATTTGTTACATTTCTATTACAGACAGCTGTATCTTCGATATTTCATTTTCATCAGGCTTCTTTCACAGGGCTCATTCTTTAGTAAAAACAGTTCTACTACATTAAACCACCATAAAGATCTGGGCTTTAAAATGTGAATAGAAAGTAAGTTCTTAAAGTCTCCCCCCAGGAAAACAGTAGGTAAAACTGTGGTGTATAGGCAAGCAAAACCAAACAAGCAATGGGGAGGACGGGAGGAAATTTCACTTTTTCCTTTTGATAACCTCATTCATCTCCAACTACAAGTCAAATCCTCCACTCCTTGCTCAGCCTCAAGACCCACCTCCTTCCTTTCAGCACATTTAATAGAACCAGACAAAGCATCATTGTGAAGGGGACACAAAAATCAAAATAAAATCCACAGCACTGCCCAACATGCATGACAGTAGCTCTTTACTTTTTTTTTTTCTCTCCTACAGGAGAACTGCACATTCACTCACAGCTTCAACATGCAACCGGTCAACACTTGGTGCCCTATGCGTAACACACCTGTGCAACGTACGTCTAGCAGTTATACATGTTCTGTTTTCTTTTCCTTGTGCGCAGCTCAGGGTTATTCAGGAAAAAAAAAATCCACATCTGACAAGGGATTATTGGTGATTGTTACAGATTCCTGATGCCTCAGTATGGCAGCACTCAGTAAAGACAGATTGCCACTGCGTGGTTTTTAGGTAAAGCAACATTACAAAAGCCAGCATGCACTGTTGATGTTAACACTGTCCAATATTAAATGGCCCCAAATTAACGTTTTATCAAGCACTTCTCTTATCAACCCCTACCCTTCCAGCCTCACAAAACAGGCAAATGGGCAGTAAGCAACAGCCATTTTAATAACTGCATCTCATTTTACAGCTTAAATGTCTTCACCTTCCCTCGCACCTTTAAGAGCTTATCGCAATAGTGAAAATAAAACTATGAGGAAGAAAAGGCATCAAGAATGCATTCCTAGGGCTAGCAGAGCACAAGCCAAAGGACACTTTTTTAAAAAACAAAGAATGCTTTTTAAACACTAACTGCAGGAGCAGTGAAGCTCCAACAAGAGATTTTTCTGTTGTGAAGCATTACAACAAGATTTAACACTACTGCCAGAAACCGAGGGCACTAATCCCCTACAATTATTGTTTTTGTAGCAGGTGGAGACCATAAACACAGAAAGAAGAGCAGCCTTTGCAGGGTAATTATCCTCCCACAACAGGCATTCCCTGTTGCTTTAACTGTGCTGCTTGTGCTCCCCACAGCAGGGCTACTGAAGCCATCCCACCTCAGGACATGCATCCCGCTGGAGGCCAGAGGACAAGGAGGCCAAGCCTCACTTTCCATCACTTTCCAGCAGTCTCCTGAGACCGTGGAGAAACTCAAAGGGCTTAATCCAAGCCACCACGCAAGCCCTTTGGGGACTATTTACCTCTTTAGAGAAAGCGAGGTTTCCTAAGGTTATCTGAAAATAATAAAGCCTTTTTTTTTTTTTTTAAATAAGTGCTTGATTATTATTAGTGCCTTTATCAATGCTTTATCATAAGACAAAATCTAGCTTATGTTACTTTGGATTGAATGCAGCATAGCATAAAACTCTTGCAATTGTGAGATATTTCTCTGAAGAAACAGGGAAATCATGAGCTTCCTTTTCATTCAACTCTAGGTCTGACAACCCAATCAACATGTGAAAAAAAATATAACAATTAAAAAAAAAATCACACAACACTCATACCTCAAAGTTTCTGCTTTCTCTTTGCGCAAACATGCATTCCTGTATGCAAACTGCCTTAAAAATGGAAAGTCCTTTTGCCGGGACCAATTTCAAATGCATGAAATATACTGAGGGTGCATAAACAAGATCACACTGCTGGCATTTCTGAAGTTTCAATGGCACTTCAGTAAGGTTCCATGATATCACACAGAAGAATCTAAGTAATTTTCAAGACAGCGTAAAGCAATAATATTTGCAGGCAGTTTAAGGCAAGTTAATACCCAGCTTCTATTGAAAACAGTAAGCCTGCATGCCTAATTGCTCCAGGGCCTTTGAAAATCCCAGCCAAAAAGCACAATAAGCAGTAAATCAACCCTTTAAAAATGAAAACACTTCCCCCATCACAAGGTATTCTGGCCCACTAAAGTGCAATTTACTTATATAAGCACCTATTGCATCATAAAGGTCACAGACAGAACTATACAAAGCCAAAGGGATTAATAAGATTAATACTATTATTCAAAAATATTAAAATCCATTATTTTATACAATAATATGAATTTTCCACCTGTGTGCCTACAGCAGGAGCAACTGTCAGACCAAGAGAGCACCAGCACTGCTCAGATTTTCCATCTCTCTCCCCTTCAGAAGAAAAGGCAGGCAGCGGAGTCCCCCTCCAACACAGTCTGAAAACACCTTGCTGCCATTGTACAAGTCTAACTTGGTGGGCACTGCAGCAGGTGAGGCCAGATTTCATCGCATCGGTACAAGAGAAAAGATGATCTTTGCAAAATAAAGTCACAAAGTATATAAAATCATAATCACAGGAAAAATATTTAGGGCTCAGAAGTTGCTCACAGAGATTGATCTTTCAATACACAATGTCTCAAAACTTTACTGACAGCAGAATTAGACTCAGATTATCTCGTCATATGCAACTTTCTGCACAATAAAGCAGTATTAATCATGGTACACTTGGTACATGGGCCTCATTTGTGTACCTTAAGCAAGAAGTAAAAATACTCTGCATCTCCTTTTCTCCTTGTTTCAAACAGTCTGTCTTTTATGATTTTCATTTCCCAGCCTTGAAATTAGATCCTTAAAATGAGATGAAATTTTTGATTTCTTATGATTATTCTTAAATTAACTTTCTTCTTCTGATTCAGAAATACAGCAAAACACAGGAGAACAATCCCAAACATCCCAATGCAAAACAATATCAATAACAAAGGCTACTCGAGGAAAGTTCTATCAGAATGAAGCTGCTATTGTTTGTAGGAGAAAAGAAACATAACTTCCTCAGACTCAACAGAGGGTGTCTCTAAAACAAGAAACCCACAATGAAGAACTGGACAAAAAAAGCTTTCATAAAGCTGAAGTCACTGTAAGAAGCAACATTGTATTGCCCAGGCCCAATAGAAAGAGTAAAATATGTGATCTTCTGCAATGCTCAGGAGCATCATAAGCCATTTTTCAGGATAGTTTTTCTTGAATTTGAAATTGAATTCTTGAAATTGAAATTAGGTTGGCCTAAGAAGTCGAGGGAAGCAGCATGTTGTATTACTTTCAGAAAAGGGATTTCATAGTCAAAAACGTGCTGTTGTTCCCTCTTTTTCCTTGCCTAGGAAATGGAACTAACTTTCCAAAAAGGAATTCCTCTCCAAAAAAAAGGAATTCCTTTCCAAAAAGGAATTTCTTTTTGGAAATCCAAAAAAGATTCAAAGGCAAAAGATTCAAAACGATCTGATGGAAGCAGACCTACATCTTAAATGAAAGTGGCAGGCAAAAAGAACAGAACCAAAAAGGGAAAAAAGAAAAAAGAGGAATGGAAGAAGAAAATTCAAAGATTAAAAATGAAATTCAAGCAGCAATTCCCAACAATTTTCCTTCAAAGTCTGATTAAGGTTTGGGCTCAGAGACATTTTCCTCTTAAAGTACCTGCAAATGTGAAAATAAAGGAAAAATACTGATCCTATAGCTTCGCAGGCTCTAGCACTGAAACAAGACATAGACTGATCCACATTACAGAGTGATTAAAAAGTTCATATGCCTATTACAGTAACTATAGATGAACCTGATTTTTTGAAATACTAAGGCAGGCAAAAAAAATGCTTGGTTTTGCAACACTTATTTTAACCTATTTGTAGATCAAAGGTATGCTTTATTAGTGATCAAATAATGAGCAGATGTATACATCTGTTTACACATCAGTTTTGGGAGGAAGAAAAAGAAAAGAAAAAGAAAAGAAAAATCTTACCTTGTCTTGATTTTCCTTATTTTTATAACACAAATTTCCAATCAAACGAATGAGATGAGATTTAAAACCCACAGCTGGATGTGAAATTTCTTCCTGCCCAGTCATAGCATGTGTGACAGTAAAAATATTTATAGTCTGTTTCCCAGCAAGGTGAGTTAATCTCAGGGTATCTGAAAAAAACAAAACATTTTAATAAATTACTATATCAAAATTAGTCCTTGCATATCACTTTACTGCTATTTAATAACTGTTAGCCTCAAAATTAATCAACAAAACTTCAGATATTGAGCAGTACATCAAAAGTTTGATTATTTTAAAAAAGTTTGTGCTACTATGACCATATAAGAGTGTCCCTAAATCAGAAGGTTATTTTTGCATCCTTTTTACACACTGACCTAGTTCAACACAGAGCATGAAGGGTGATTCCATTCATCTCTACTTGAATGTTCAAGCTTATGAACTGTTAATGATTCTGCCATTCCAAGTACGGACTCACATTTGGTTAAAATCATTTGAAAAACAGAGGTTATCTAAAAAAAAAAATCGTTCATTTCAAACTCATACTAATAGTGGGATTCCTTTTCCTTTTCTCAAGTCTTTTTCGAGCTCAGTAAGGTGAGAAAGGATTTTCAGTTCACCTAGCACCTTGCCATGCCACTACAAATCCTTGACCGACTACTGTAGTTTTGTTAACTAAGGAACACTAATGTTTCTGGAGGTTAGATGTTAGTTTAGAGCAACTAGAATTTTTCTTTTCTGTCCTTTTAGAAGACCTAAACAAACACTTAGTCAGAAACTAGAAAGAGGGATACTAAAATGTGTGAAAACTGTGTTTCATAAAAAGACTACCCTCAAAGTTGAAGTCACACCAGCACCTGAGAGTCCATACAGCAGCCAGTTTACTAGAAACTGTGTGTATATTAAAAAACAAGCAATTAAAATTAACTATTTTCCCCCTGATAGCCCTGCAATGTTAATAATTGGCCCAGCATAACATCTGCCCGAAAATGCTACATGCAGCTTACAGTGAAACAAGATGTAGCAAAACTAGGTTATAACACAGGGTAAAACAGTAATGTACCCTGAAGAAAAATCTCAATGACTGAAGAAAAAACTTTGAAAGTTGAATTAAGAAGAAGGAAAAAAAAAAAAAAGAAAGAAACACCACCACCAATCCTTCCAACCTCATTACAGGGCAAACAAAATGAAATGAAGAACCTATCAAACCTATCTACCCAGCCTGGAGAGCGGGATGCAGCATAAGAACAGCAGCAGTCACCTTCAATGTGCGAGGCCAGGCGCAGGAGATGGTGCTCCTCTCAACCAGGGCACATCCTACAAAGCACAGCAACTACCTCCCGGAATGTCACCCATGTTCTCAACTGAACACCTCATTTTGCCATTCCTCCTCATGATCCTAAAGAGTAATTTAACCCTTCCAATGAACGCCTCAGTCCAAAAGAAAACCTCCCTGGTGATATTCTCCAAATACTGTGCAATCAGACTATTAATAGTGCTAAGGGCGCTAAAAGTGCAGTAGCATTTAGCACTACTCTTCTACTGAGAATAAAGCTCCTTAGTTCATACATCATTCAGGTATTTTTCTAATCCTTTCTAAGACTTTCAAACCTTCTATAACCATAGATTAACTGAGACCAAATAATTTTCAGTAGGAGATGGGTTTCTCCAGAGATTATCTGAAGCTGATCTTCATCAAAAGATCTCCCCATTAAAAGAAAATCTTTTCCAACATCTTCAGATCAGGGGTTAGGTGATATCCAGTAGTTCAGGAGTTCTTCATCCATTTTGTAAATCTAAGGAGCTGTGCAGTCAGAAGATACGTTTAAAGAGAGCCTGTAAGATACACTGATGAATTCCTGCTTAACTATGAAGGTCATGCAGGCCAACAACGTTATACTTTGCACCTATGTTTAACTAGCCTGAAGACAGCTGGAGAGAAAAGTCAGGCTGTGCACAGCTGGAAACAGCAGGACTGGCCTACACACCACCACTAACCTTACCAGACTGATCTGCACCTCAGAATTCCACAAAACACATGCAGATAATATATATATTGTTGCAGGTTGTCTTAATATAAGTTATAAAGGGGTGCACCTGAGTATCATCAAAAACAGAGCTGTTCTTATAAAGAGGCCTTTACAACATCTCAGTATTGAGGGCTGGTGAACAGCGGTTTCAGCCAGAACATTATGCAGTTGATTCTCTAACATCCCTCAGAGTTACTCAGAAAGCTGTGCACTATATCAGTTTCAGAAAGCATTACGATTTAGATGGCACAAGTCACACTCTTTTTCCTCCTTTCTCTCCAAGTATTTAGGTTCTCTCTGAATCGCCCCGGTTTCATTTTATTTAAAGATGTTATTTTATTCTTACTTAGCAGAACAAAACTTCCTTCAATCTAACCTTTCAAAGCCACTGCATTTGATTATAACTTTTAATCCATATTTAGTTTCAGTTTTAGCTTGGGGAATAGCAGGGAACAGACACTGAAAAGTCCCATTTCTACTTCTTGAAGTTGTTCTTCCACACATGCTCAGTCAGTGGAAGAACATAGGAAATGGCTGCCCTCTGCACAACTCTTACCAAATAAATAGCGCATTGCTGAGAGTTGAATAAAGGCTCTGTTGGGTTGTAGGAGGCAACAGAGCAGGTAGACCAGCTAAAAAATTCCAGGAACAAATCAAATATTTGAAAATGTAGATTAATTCAATCTCCTATTTATTTATTTTATTAGAAGGTCAGAATCATAATTACCATCAGTTGTGAAAAACATGTTTTCATTCACAGGGCAAGATGATCTGAATCCAGCCAGCACTTCATAAACTCTGTGGCTTTTCACTCACCTACAGCTGTTTCAAGCAACCCAGGCAAAACTTGTAGATGTTCTAGCTGTCCGTTGTTTGATGTCATTTCACAAAGAACGTCAAGGAGTCGAATTGTAACCAGTGCTTCCTGTAGATGAAAATGCATTTCTGAAAATGTTAGACGAAGGGTAACATCCCAACGTAAAATCTGATGACTGAGTGAAGGACAAGAACTTTCAGAAATGTAGTTTCTTTGCACGTCTTTTGAACTGCCAAAAGTAAATTTATATAAAATAGGAACACCTTTCTAGAACAACAAGGATGCATTGTGTTGCAGTAATTTTTTTTCTACGGTCAACACAGTATTATATGCGCCCTGAAAGATCTCAGGGAAAACAAAACAGAGCCATAAGGGATAAAATTTTAACAAAAACACAGTAGCTTCCAAAAGTAGAAATACAGAAAATTACTAGCTGAGAAAATTATTTCTGTATAAATGTTTTCTTTGAGTTTATTCAGAAAGCGCGTCCCACTTTAAAGACAGAAACACCGCCTGCAAGACACCAATGTTTTATCCGCAGGAATTCTGTAAAGTTCTGTGGTCGAATGAACTTTGGCTGCGAGAATTTACATTATTCTTGAGTAAATAGGATCAGAATCATAGATGCAGCATTCTGGTTAGGTATGAGATGCACAATTTTATCTGCATATTATTTATTCAACCAGAGAACTATTTTTTTGCTCATGAGTTGCGTTGATGTGTGCTTAGAATGACAATCCAGCACTTACAGAAAGTTACCTTAAAATTGTACAGAATAATTTGGAATACCACATATTGCTCAAGAAAGACTGCGACTGCAACCTGATTGCTTACAAGGTGTGCTATGTAAACTGCAAGTTGCCATGAAAAGGCTCCTACATGCATCAGAGCACCTATTTCCACCTTGCTTTCTTCTTGTCCACGAGATGGGAGGTACAAAATCCAAGGTTCCCTAGGGAACCCACATACACCTAATAAATTACACAGCAGACGAGAACCAGACAGCATTTTAGGAGATAGGTGAGCTCAAGGGTGTTCAAAACACTTCCAGCGTGGCCTCCCAGTTTTGGATGTTAAGACAGCTTACTAGTACAGACACAGATTGACCAAGCCATACAGCTTCAGGGCCACGGGAAAAGCCCAGGAATAGTTCAGCTTTTTAGCATAGGTTTTGCTCAAAGTATTTTTAATGACAGATTCTACATATACACTTTTTTTTTTTCATTGAAGTACAACCTTTAGGCTAAAACTAAAATACTCAAATTATCAAAAAGAAAGTGGTGCCTTTTTTAATAATTTCTAGTGAGAAAATAAACAGTTTCTTGAAGTCATTTAGTTGTTTTTTCTTCTCCCATGGAAAGCATGGGTTATGTATAAATATATATCCGCATATTTTATTAAAGGTGTTCTTGCAATTTCTTTTGCTTTACTCAGCTATTTGTGACCTGTGTTACAATCACTAGATATCCATATTCTCCACCAAACAGTGCTATTTAATTTATCCTGTGTCATATAAGTAAAGGATAAAAAGTCATTGCCTAACAAGGCAACTGATACAGCAGTATTCTCAGTACCCAGCACCTTCAGGTTGGACAGAGACCTTCTGCTAGGCAAAAACAACTTTTTGTTTTGTTTTGTTTTTTTCCAAGAACTCAAACCACTGAATACTTGAAAGTAACCACAAAGAATTAAAAATAAAAATAAGGGAGTGAGGGGGAAATTGTCTCAATATATTTTCTCTTACTGCCAAGTTGATACCTTCTCTGGAAGCAGTTTCTTAGATATCTCAGATTAAGAGACTAGTGAAGTTCTGTGTACAGGGGAACAAAGTGGGGAAAAAGGAAGCTATCTCTGTTATACAGATAAGAATAGATGTTGAAGACTTGCCTCTCATTTTCATTTTTCTGATACACCCATCTATAGCTTCCTCTTGAAGTGATTGTGTAACTTTCCATAGGACCTTTTTATGCATATCTGTACACTGAAACTTCTTGCATGTATTTCATTTCCCCACCCTCTCCCCCACCAAAAAAATCGGAAGTTATTACACTGTTTATACATTTTTTATGATAATGTTAAAGTTTTTCATTTTAACTGCAAATTACAAACAGGAGAAATGATCTTAGGAGTTTCTCTGCCTGAATCTACCACAGGTTAATTTTAAGAATATTTCCCACTACACGCCTATTGTTTGACCAACACATACTAAGGTTTCTCAGACTTTCAAGTTTTCTGGCTAGTGATTGCTTTTTACTTTTTTCCTCCTTTTTTGTTCTTTTTTTTTTAATAAATACATAAAAAAGGAAAACTCACACCAGCTAAAAACATTAGAACTTTTTCTATACAAATGGCACCCCTGTCCAAAATATAGTGACCTAAAGCAGCACCAGCAAATATACTACAACTCAGGGTGTCAACTGCTTTCTGTACTCCTAAGAACATTGTTAGGTACTTTAAGCATTTGTTGAAAATAAGAGGAAGAAGTAAAAGAATAGTTTATTTTAAAAGATCGCTACTCTTAGACGATCAAAAGTTCCTTATTGTACTATATGGTAGGGCAAGTAGCCAGCAGTTCTTGGATACTTCATAAGAAGGAAATAAAATAAGGCCATCACTTAGCTCCACAGCAAAAGGTCCCAAAGTGTAGTCCACAAAGCCTCTTGTGACCCATAAAAGCCTTCTTATTTAACTTGCAAAGGGGCTTCATTGTGGCCATCCTCAACAAAACCGGTTCATTAAGTCTGAGGCAATAACAGATTGCATCAAAGTGGATTAGAGTTGTGCTGAGTGTCAGGGTGCTGGAGAAAGGAGCCATCCAAGAGCCCCAAAAGCTCCATGACTTCAGCCTGTGGACCAGAACAGCTCCAGGAGCACCTTGCCAGAACCACACAAGGGCCACCATGCAGCCCCAAACTGTGGGGCAATGGGAAGAGAGAGAGTCAGGACTACAGCCCTCACTGGCAGGGAGGGTCCCTGTACTTTTCAGCAGGTCGCACAGTACTGAGCTCTCACAGACATCACGCAAGTGCTCCAGGTCCCCAAGAGACTGGGAGCACCTGCCATGTGAACAGCCAACTGCAAGTTCAAAAAACTAGTTTTTAGGAACTTTATGAGATGGCCAGTCCAAAATGCAGTTATTTAAGCTTGAAAAGAAAAAAAAAATCTGTTCTCCTGATACATAAATATCTAAATAAATAAATCTATTTATACAGATATATAGATCTACATAAATAGTTCTATTCATAATTGAGCAAAACAAATTCACAAAGTAAAACAACTACAAGTGACCCCTAGTAAGAGCATAAGGAAGACCCCAAATATTAAACGTAAACTTCTGGTTTTTTTTAAAAAAGAGGTATTTTACGCAGTAGATGTAGTTTTTTCTTGAAGTACTGAATCCTTTGTCATCTTCAAGTTCCCAAAGTCTCATCTCCAAATTCTTGCCTGTTGTCTTACAAATCTACCAGTGAACAGGGCCATTGCTTTAGCAATACAAAGGAAACCCTGGAACATTTGGAAATAGTAACTGTGATTTTATATGCTAGTGGCAATGCAGAATCATCACTTCAGATTTTGACACTGTAATGTTTTATTAGTTGTACCTCATCTTCGGCATCTACTGCAGAAGTCAACTTGAGCACAGCTTGACATTTCTCCTGGAAACAGCCCGCAAGGAAGTCAGCGTATCTCAAGAAAACCATCATTTCTTCACTGGTAACAGGGTGGTTCTCACTTATTTTCGCCATTATCAGGTCTAACAAAGTGACTCTAGAATTGGAAAACAACTTGTTAACCATATTCACTAAGTTAACAAGAAAACAGGCAGATACAGTTGTTAAAAATGATACTAACAATTAGCATTTTATTAGCATTTTTTTAATAAAACATGATCAATTCCGGTTCCCCATAGATGGTGAAGCATTCAAATTCAATCCACCATTCAACTGATGCAATCTAGCCAGTGAAATACCTATTTCAATTTTTAAATTCTTACGTCCTGATGTAAAATTACAGTGACTGCCTACGTTTGTATCTTAAATTCCACTGAAGCAGCTTTTAAAAGCTGTGAAGTTCAGCCAAATAGACAATTTGACAGCTTTTATTTGAAAAATTTCAGCTTTTTCCAGTCCTTGCCTTGCATGCAGGCCTTCACTAACTCTCCTTTCCAACTCAAAACAATGTTGAGAAGAAACAAAAGAAAAATATCTACACTCAGTTCTACAATCTGTTTCATAACTGCCACTAGAAAGACTGTAATAAATCCAAATTAATTATCCATATACCCACTAAGAGTTATTCACAGTATAAAGCCAGACAGTAAGTGAACACATAACGAAGTTGCTCTATAAAATGTCCCAAGACATTTACTTTAACAGTTTTAATGACGTTTAAATTCTTATATCCATATCATATTTGGGTACCATACCCTTGCTCATCCACAAACTACCAGAGATGACTACCCAGTACCCCAGTTATGAAGGGTTTGAGTTTTGGCATATTATGCTAAAATCAGGCAGAAAGCACAGATGTGTCATTCCTCCTCAAGGTGGAAGCTCTTACTGAGTTAAAAGCTTTTCAGGTATATCCTTAGCTAAGAAAACAGGCTGCTCACAGATTTTATGATTAGAGCCACTTATTCCAAAACAGTATGATCTCCTCCATTACAGAAATTTGATCAGCCGTTCCTGAGCTAATAATCCAAACACACCTTTTAAAAAGGCATGCAATCCTTCTGTAAAGAAGTTGCAGAGTGACCACACGCTTTCTAGAGAGAACTACTGCCAATTAGGAATAGTTTCCTAACCTCTTTTTTTCGCATTACTCATCCTTTAGCAATATGCCTTAGATAATCATAATCCTTCCAAGGAAACAGGAGTAACCTGAAAACCCAACCTGTATGTGATTTCTTCAAAGTTACCTGTTCTTTTTAAGCGCTCACGTGCCAAGACTGTTTCTGAACTTTCTTCAGGCACAGTCACTCAGGACATGCTCACCTTTCCTCTGAATTCCAAGCACGTTTTGCACTTGGGCAAGACTTTCCTGGGGGCAATGATTTTTATTCCGTGTAAACTCCCTTACCTTCCTTTCCTCTATTATTCTTCCAGTCTTTTTCCAAGACTCCCTAAACCCTTCCCAGTGAGTATGCTCAAATATGTCATTTGCAGATGTCTTCCAGATTATCTCACCACAGTTCTTCAGCCAGTCAAACATGACAAGTGTTTGTGCCAGTTTCTGCATGTCTTGTCATGAATTTTCATAATACTCAGTTCAATATCTGATAATTTTGTATGTTGGAGGATTGGGCTTTTTTTTTTCTAGCCATTTATTTTCTTCACAGTAAAGATATTTTATGAGGCTTATACAAAGTTTATCAGTTGCCTCTCATCTAGGTAGAGTCAAAAAAGTCGGAGACTTGCAACAGTTTTCCTTCCCAGAATCCACTATGCGAAGGCTCATTCAAGAAGAGGGCCCTGCTATTTCTCATAGTAAATTGAAGGTGCTTTTCCTTCCTACTTCCTGACTCTCCCATTTGCATATATACCTGCTAACACATGGTTTAGGCAAAGGAAATAATTTTACTGGTCTGCCAAGTATGGCCCACATTCAGTGTAGCTCCATACCAATAAATCTCTGATTACAATGGCTGTCTCCTTGTTTCCTCACCATGCCCTGATCTACGGTAGATCCACAAGAAATCCCAAGATTTTCATTACTTCAGCATGTAACAGTTGAAAGGAGGGTTCATGGACACAAGAGACATGTCACAAGTTTAGTTTTGTACTCCATTGGTCTTCCACCTCTAAATTCTCATTCCCACTGCTTTGTGTTCAAATCTCTTCCAGTTGGGAGACTCACAGATCTGCTGCGTTTTCATTAACTGATCTCAGATTCACACAGAGGTTCTGCACCAGCTTTCTCTGTGACCCTGACACCACCTCTCAGAATAAGCATGAAAATCACTTAGTCTTTCTATGAGAAGATTTTTTACAACTGTCTGCAGGTACTAACCGGAGGGTTTCTTAACTTAAACACTCTCATTTCTTCAAACCAATGTTCCATTAAGATTTACCCATCATTAGGGAGAGGTAAAGGAGTTCTCCATATGGAGCACCACTTCCATACAGCTTCATCACACAGCTAGCCAAAAGCCAGCTGGATACTTTTCTTCTCCCCGAAAAAAAAAACAGAATCAAAAATCAGCAACAGTTGATTTCTGGTGAAGATGCTAACAAACCTTTTGCTCTATTTGAAAAATGATAACACCAGTAAGTGGCATCTTCTATACCCAAATTTAATCCAGGTGCTCCTGGACCTGACCAAACTGTGAAGAACTTTGAAATACTGCTAAGTATTTGCAACTGGCGATACACGTTGCTGCCTCACAGAGTTTGCAAACAAAGTTCACTGTTAAAGCGCAATATAAATCTACAGGCTTATTTTAGAATAAAATAAACTTCTACTAAGCTTGTCTAAAGAAATTAAAAAAAAAAAATCTATCAATATGCCGCCTCCAAACAGTTTTTGCACCAAATGTTTGGTTTACACCCTGTTAAGAAATGCCTGACACTTTCAACATTTTTTCCCTCTGACTTTTCTCTCTGGGCTTTTTTTTCCCCTGAAAAAAAATCTCTAGCAATAATGTTTTTACAAGACAAATTAGGCCCTTTCTCCATTTCCCAGTTCTCTTGTCTTCAAAATATGCTTGAAAACATCCCATTAAAAATGTAACTGACTGAAAATTGTTAAATTAATGGGGGAATACAATCCAGTTCTCCTTCAACTATTTTGTCTTTGTAAGCATTACCAAGAACACAAACCAGTAGCCGAACATAGGCAAGAAGAGGTGCCAGTTACGCTATTTGAGTGTCCATTTCACTGCTGGTGACTGTATGGAAGGCTACATCATTCACTGAGAACACTTCACACGAAATAATCAAATCTGTAAATTTTAAAAATGCAAATAGTTGAGCATTCTAAGAAAAAAAAATCCCAACCATCTCAATTCTGTAGATTTGTTGTTATGAATGAAAGCAAAAATATTCCTTTTCAGAAGGGACAACAGTGATGTACACATTTTGAAGATTTTACAATGCAATTAGACTATCAAAGCATTAACCAATGCTGTCCATGCTCAAGGCTAACATCGATTAAAGCAAAATGGGTCTTTACCAAATACTCTTGCACATGAATTTCTAAATATTTATGCACATGGGCGCATCTCAAATCCGGCAAAGAATTCAACTACTTTTACAACCTTTTGGCTCAATACCCTAGCCATAGGTTTCTGCATTAATCACCTTTAGAGAAATGGCTAGCATTATCACATTGTCATGTACCTTTCAGAGCCAGAACAGCATTAGAAAGGTTGATCATATTTTCACAGTACTTATTTCAGGCCATCTCGAAATGCAGACAAGCAACAGCAAATCATGTAAGTTTGGTTTGAAAATGAAAATACAGTTGTCCAGAAGTGAGGAGTTTGTCTTTTAATTGAAAGTTTATTTAGCAGATTCACTTCTGCAACAAGAAGGCTACTCTTTGGCACACACCATGGCCACAATATCACAAATACACTAGATTTCCATTACAGGAAATACTTTAAATAGTGCAAATACTGGAAATACTGCAAATACTGCGGTTACTGCATATACTTTGGTTATCTATGGCAACTGCCAGCTTTTTTTTTTTTTTTTTTTTTTTTTTAAAGCGTCACCACTAACGTACATATAGCAAACTTTCTCAGCATAGTTCATTTATTTTCAGTAAACGGAATGAAAATAAATGTATTTAATGTGCATGCTACAGAATACTGTAACAGTTACCATTTATTCATGAGCTTCAGCTGTCTTGTCCTTGTCCAGACACCTCAATACCACATCTGTCACACGAATGACGAAAGGCCTCTGTCAGCCTCCATGGGTGCCCAGTGTGGCACTCTTGCGGTGAAGCTCCTTGTCTCATTTTGAAACAATGAATTCCCTTTTCTGCTTTGGTTTACACAGTCACTTCCCACTGCTCCCCACTTAATGATAGCCAAAATGTTTTTATCTAAATTTGATTTGCCTTCTCATACATCTCGAAGGAATACATTCTTAAATATATAGGAGGCTGCCACTGGGTCTTCTTCTGCAGCTCAGATGCAAAAGGACTATTTCTACAACATGTACTTCAGTGCTTCAGTATGTTTGATAGTAAATGAAGTAGCAGCAAACTCATAAACTGCACTCTGAACTTCACTTGTGTTGTAAAACTTTCGTGGCTGATAATAAATTTAGTGGCTATCCTGTGACTAGCTATCTAGGGTGAGCATCCACACACCTACACAAAAACTTCTTTCAGTCAAAGCAGCACAATAGCTTAAGAAACATGTTACATGCAAGAAAATCCATCTGAGATCTTTCTAGAAACTGCTTAGCTACACAAAACTCCCCGTTGCTCTAAGAAAAAATTAACAAAATTAACATAGTCAGGCTGTCCTCAAGGGAAATCGGGGTGAGTGGGGCAAAATCATGACATTCCCTGAAAAAAAACAAACAAACAGCAACAAATCCCTAGCTCTTTCTATTTAACTATCTGGTTAAGGAAATCCTCCCTACTTCTACGATTAGTAAGCACACAGCTCATACTCCATTTGGTCAGCATGAATACACTTATTCCTTGTTTTACACCCCATACTTACATATTGACTATATTTTATAAACCCATTTTAAACCTATCATATTCCTTCTTTACCTGCAATTCTGTTTTTTCCTTTACAGTCTCTGATCAGTATCTGAATCACTTTTTCTAATTACAATGTGGCTTTAGCTACATCAGAAGAAGTGTAACTACAGCAAAAACTGTAGACAGGAATTTGCACTTTCCCTGCACGAGTGGGAAATAAAGTAGCCATTTTGAAAGACTGAAATAGATGATTATGGAATGCCTAAACTGTTAGAGAACTTATGGATTTATAGAACAAATTTCCAATTATTTGTTTTTCTAACAACATAAATTTTATCTTTCCTCATTCTTTATTAAAGCAATTGTAAACAAGTATTTTTCTACTATAGAATTGGTCATTTTCCATTAATTCAGCACCCATTTATTCAAATGCTTGAATGAAAGCTAATTACTGTCTTTCTAGGATGAAGGTTTCTTATAACTTTTTTTTTTAATAATGGAAATGTTAAGAGATTAAATAATCATAGCCATCTTCACATCCATGGTTTTTAGCTTCTGCTAACCAATACTAGGTAGACATACAGCTTGAGTAAAGCTAGGATGGGTCTTCCTTATAACTTCTTGTAATTACAAGAGGGGTATGAACAGCTGAGTGCATTTCACATACAGCTATAGCACACTGCAGGGTGTGGTAGTGCACTTATGAAATCCAGGCACGGGTATGAAGTCCTGCCTTTTTTTTCTTTTTTTGAAGTATTTCTTTACTGAGCAATGGCGCCAACCTGGATTCTGCAACCCTACATAAATCACTGCCAGTTGTGGCTAAGCTGTAATGTTAACCAACCAATTTAAAACCATTACTGACATAGAAACATGTATTTAGAGATTTTGTGCCAACTATGAAACCACACAGTTTTTCAATCATGTGAACAGGATACTCTATATGGAATGCTAAATACTAAAAGCCACATTGGTTTTTGGGGTTACCTTTCTTGATTGCTCAGTTTGGCATAGAGGGCTTTTACCAGCTCTGGACATTTCAGCAAATGGTCTGTAACAATCAAGAACCTGAAGAAAAGAAAAGAAAAAAAAAAAGTGAGGAAAATGAATTACTGGTTCTATAAAGAAAACATCATTTACATTTAGTCTACTAGGTGTTGGTTATTTTTATTTGTAGATGACCACTTAACGTGTATCTAGTCTTGTTTGCTAATGGATACAAATCATCTTAAAACTAATTATGCACTGTTCTCCTGGTTATTTTACCTATTTCAGCAGTGGGCACTTCCCATCAAGACAGCACACTTTAACTAGCTTTCCTTCAATCACTTGAGTGGAAGGTTTTTGCTAGGTACAGAAAACGCACACCACCATTCAAATAATAAATAGTCAGTCCAAGTCTTCATATACATCAACAAAAAGCCAAAATAAACACTTGGAAAGATATGATATACATCGTAAGATTGTTTTTATGATATTGTTTTTAAAACTACCAAATAACCGAAGGAAGTATTCAAATAACTTTTCCTTTAAAAAACATATACATATATATATATGTGTGTGTATATATATAGAGAGAGAACAAAGCATCAAAGCTTTGTCTGAAGCAAAGCAGCAAAATACTCCCAAGTTACGAAAAATATCCCTTTTGTGTAACAATTATCTCAACCAATGTCAGTCTAATTGAATACCTTGAATACAGCACCTCATAGAATGATCCACCCTTGTGCTAACACCAACATTTACATTAATAATCACCTTCATGAGTATTACTCATAGGAATCAACAGGAAATGTTAATCTAATTTCAATATAGCTGCATAGTCTAAGCATTACAAAAACAAGTAAACTAACAAACCAACAAAACTCTCACTCTAAACAGGGTGTTTTTTTTTCCTTTAAATTACATTTCTAGAAGCACCAAGTGTGATATACAACATAGGTAAACACATGCTTAACCATACATTTTTAATCAATAAGTGCATTCGGCGAGTGTAAAATCACAAGGGCTCAAACTCAGAATGACCAAGAGCTGATAAAGATGGAAGTAATTTTAATATTCCCTCCTCCACCTCCCTTTTGCTTTACTGATAATATTATTTTGCGTAACCATAGTCTACTATATATCTAGCAGGAAGATGACACAGAATTCTTCCATCTGCAACAAAATATTTGGGGGGAATACAGTCATTAATAACTGAGGAGACAGAAACACAAGACAACCAACAGATTAATAGCTATTATGTTTCTAATGCAACCTGTGGACTTAGCATCTGGCTCACTTAATGCCAAGCTGACTTTGCAGTAAAACAAACAAAAAGCTGTGCACTGTAATGTACATTCAAGGAAAAATAGTATAGTTATAGGCAATTTTCAACTTAGAAGTGATATTCTAATCAGCACGGAGTTGATTCACCAGTTTCTCAACAGTGATTTTAACCTACAGACTTCCTCAAGTCAACCCCACAACTATGTTCCAATGCCAAGCAGTGCAAACTGACACAACAGAATTCCATCAAGCTGCTTACATAGAATCATGGGAATACTTCCACTCTTCCTAAGACAACAATTCACAGCATAAGAGCTTGACAGTTAAATCATCAGAATGATGACAACTGACTTATTTTGTAAAGGATTTGAGCAGAAAGAAGAGTCACAGAGAGCTGCAAGAAAAGAAAGCACAACAATTGCTGCGTACAAAACGCATTAAGATTTAGCCTCACAACATACAAATTTCTGCTGCTGAAGTAGAACAGTAAAATTGCATTTAAAGAAAAATTATCCGTAGTCAGATTTTTCAATTTTGTAGTTGGAAAAATAAATTTTAATGTTAATTTTCATAATTAATATTATTGTGGGGTATTTTCTTTACTATTTGCCTTACAGTTAAGAAAATTATATAATCTCACTAACCGCATACAAGAGATTACTATGGCAGAGCAAAATAACTGTATTTAGTCAACATTTGGGTCTATGTTCTTGTGTATATTCAGACTTATCTTTATAGAATAGCACTGTACCGACAGACGAGCCTGGAATATTTCAGAGTAGTGTTTCTGCTCATAAAGAAGCATTTATTTTTGTTTATCATTTTAATCTCAAGACATGACGCAACCCACCAGAAGCTCCTACTTCTGTAATTAAGTTTCACATTCTCCTTATCTTCTTCCTACATCGCGGCACCATAAAGAACAGATCACTAACACATTTTAAAAGAGCATCACTAGGAGATGTCAACAGAAGAGACATGTAGTGGATTGAACACTTTACTCCAGCTAACAATAAATTTTAGCAGTAGGAAAGTTAGGGTGAGACAAATTAAAACTAGAATAATCAGTCCTCAGCTCTCATGTTTTTCATTTGGGATAGGGGAGAATAAGAGGAAAAGTAAGACCATCCACAAATTTGAAATGAAAAAAAAAAAAAAAAAAAAGACATCTGGTTTTGGATTACTGACTGAATATGGCATTTCAGATACACACAAAAGACTTTGGTAAGAGATTTAAACTGTGTTTGGAGGCCAAGAGCAGAACCACTGGGATAAACTGAGGACCACTGTAATTTAGTGAAGGAAATGGTGAAAATTAAAGTTGTTATGTAAGCATAATGCAGTAACAAATGAATAGTGTTAAATATGCCAATTTTCTTGACTTTTAAAAAATTGCTTGGCTAAAATCCTAAAAAAATCAAGTGCTTACATAGTAGATAAATACAGGAGGAGATGTTCAGTTCAAAGACTTTACAATAGCACAAGGGATACATTGTATCAAATGGAACTTGAGGAGCAGCCAAGATGAAATGGTATAAGCTACAGTTACGCTCAGTATATTTCAAAATGACCACTAAGCTTGTTCCAATCAAAGCTGGGTGTAAGCAATCAACTTTATTGTAAGATGCCATGCTCCATAATAACTTGATTTGATTCTATTAGTAACTGTAGAGATCAGTGTCTTTGGTCTCTGAAAATGAGGACAAAAATAAATTGTTTCAGTAGAGAAAGGAAACAAGATGGTGATTCTGTGTTTAATCAGCGAATTTCTCTTCTGATGTCAAAACAGAAAATACAGTCCATCATACAACATACTACAGTGTGGTTCGAGCCAAAATATTTGTAGGAATGAAATAGCAATTTTTACAGTAGTTTATCAGATTGGTCTTGAAATACAACATTCTAGCATGACAAGCCATCCAGATTAGCAAGAAAAAGAAGAAAATTCAGACACTAAACCTTTCAAATCTGTATGTCCCATTCTTTTAGATGCTATAAAAGCAATGTGCCTCACAAGATGCTGAGCAGAACATGTTTTAGGAGCAAAACAATTTGTTGGCCAAGCACCATTTACAAATCCATTTGTAGGAATGAAGACATTTTATAACAAATGAAATATAAGTGCTCTCAGACCTCTAGAAACTAGACTGCACTTTTTGTTCAAAAGAAATATAAGGTCCCTATTTAAGGTTCAACACCAAGGATGAGGCATCACATTGCTTTCACCTTGAGGTGAACACAGCACAAGGGAACATCCTTCCTCTTCTTCCAAAGGGATTGTGCATAATGAACGCAAGACCGAGTTCAGGATACCTGAAATATGTCTCTGTGTCAGGAAATACTCCCGTTCAATTTGACGGCTACATCTGAAATGCCCTGGAAATGGATTTTTACTTATGCGCAAAGTCAGTGCCACTGTTTTTCTGAAGAGCTTCCCTGCAAAAATCTTGTAACAACAAGATGGCTACTTCCCCTCACTCCCACCTCCACAAATGATACAACTGCTAGGTGAAAAGTCAAATGTGTGAAATTGGGCCTTAAAAGACTGGCAAAGTCTGTGCCAATAAGCTGCTACTGCAAATAGAAACTACTCAGATCACTCCATTAAGGAAACTTTTCCAATTGACGGTACTATTTAAAACCACAGTTGAACTTGGAACCTGCAACATAACTCCAACTTTCCTGGAATTAAAAATAAAAATTACTTTCTGGAGAGCAGCAGAGGAGATGGGGAAGGGCATCCTAAATTGTCTGAGAGAAGAGTCAGAAGTTGCCAGCCCAAAATGAAAAAAGGTAACATTTTCTGGTTTCTGCACGACATGCATGCCAATTAAGCACCAGGCACTCTACTGAAAAGTTCCATGTTTCCCTTTAAATCCGTGCCCGTGGGCAAGAGTCCTTGCCACAGGAGCACTAGTTTCTGTCCACACTTCTTTCCATAAGCCAGGACAAAATAACCAACAGCAAAAAATGGGGAGGGGGAACCCCACATCCTAATCTTCACAGTCATCATTGAACTGTGGTTTCAAGAAGAGAAAGTAGATGCTCAGAAATCCTTACTTCCAATGCCAAACAGCCGACCACACTCTTAATATCATTTTTTTCCAGAGGCCAAAAGGAATACTATGCCTCTTATTTTAAAATGGAGGAATTTTGTTCCTTGCTCTTCAGGAATCAAAAATGCAACCTGTTTTTCTTTTCATAGTAGTTACACTGCATACAGTAGTTGCCATGCATATCCTTGGAAAAACTGATGACACAAGCTATATTCTCTCATCTCTCATGGAACCACCAAAGTATTTCTAAAATAAACAGCTTTTAGAATACACATTGGTCTTGGTTAGGATAAATTATAATGTAATTTTGTACTACTTTTTCCTAATTATTTTTACAAAACACATATGTTTGCAGGTTCAATATTCTAAAACAGATCTTACGTGGCATTCAATGTTGGCTTCTTCTAAATACGGCAGCCTCTAAGCTGTGTGACACACTTTTGTGCTGTTGATTAATACAAACCCAAAAGGGAGCAGATGTGCATGGCGGGGCGGGTGGGGGCGGACACAGAGGACAGACTCTTTAAAGGCTCCGTAATTTTCCAGAGCCTAAGGCATAGCTGCCTGCATGTTTTAAAGCTTTTACGGGAGAAAAGGCAGCACTGGCAAGTTTTCTCAAAGTACTTCACAGATGACGCTGGATACTACTTGTGCTTTCTTCCTCCCTTGGAACTGCAGCAAGGAGGCGTGTTACAGACAAGATCTGGAGAGTCCATTGTAATCACACAATCGAGTCGGAAATGC